TATCTTATTGGATCGAAAGTTCCCTCTCGTAGAACCAATCTAAAATTAGTATATTGAGATTTTCTCTTTTTCATCTAATGCTGACAACTTACCAAAAGTTAGTCCATATAAGCGTTATTCTGTTCTAGACTGTTACATTTCTCAACCTGAAACCAATTTAACAATCCCCTACTTATTCTCCACTACACATATTCACTTAACGGAAAAGGTTGTGGCAGAGAGACCGCTATAATGCCCTACAATTAAACATAGCGTTTGTATCAACCAAACTGGTAGTTATGGCAACATGTTGTGGACATATTGCGAATTTCGCACGATTTTGTTGAACTCACATTGGCATTTAGGCAGTTAATTACCCGCATTAATTTGCATAGTTTCACATGACAACCCACAGGCCCCACACCAAGTGAGTAGCGCACCTTGCGGCACACACACACACATACATACATCCATATGTATGTACATATGTATATGTTTAATTATGAGCAGCTAGGCAGGCGACAGGCGAGGTGATTAGTCGTGTGGTGGCAGCCAAACATACGGAATCAGAGCGACCGGATTGCTTGAATGGTCGTCGGCCGGTCGGTTGCTGCTCGCTGTCGTTTTATTTCTATGTGCGGGTCGCCGAAATCGAACGAAAAAAGAATGCATATTAGCAAAATAAATAAATACATACATATGTACATATAGCAAGTGAATTTACACGATTCTAACGAATATAACAACTGCAAATGTACCGTAACATATGCAAATTGTTGATACATACAACAACAATACAAACAAATTAATTTACTGGGCTATTAGAAATGTGTTGCCTTGTGCTTGAACTTGCTGCTAAATAAAGAAATTTCGGGTGCAAGGCTGGCAAATGCCGTGTTAGGAATAACGTATGGTGGTCTAGCTCGCGATCGTTAATCTTTATCAGACTTTGGTGCACTCAGTGATGCTGTAAAATGGATTCGATTCGATTGTTGACAGTTGGCTTTTTTGTTAAGTTTTTCTATTTTTTATATAGTATATAAATAGTTCGCAGCCCAGTTAACACGAAATATGCATTACAGTGTTGTACGCGTGCGAAGAAATTGTGCACCCTCCTATAATAGCTGAAAAGAAAATGTAAGCATTATTTGACATTTTCAATTAATTTGCAAGCCATCAGCTCGATTTTCGATTATCACAAATTGCAATTTTCTGCGCACTCACAACAATAAAGTATAGCAGCAACAACAATAACAAACGCAGCAACATACACATCAACATTTGTTAGTTCCATTTCGGCGTCTCTCAGTCTGCAGCCCAGCATGCGCCCTCTCTTGCTGTATCTAGCTCCACATTTCTCTCTCTCTCTCTCTCTCTCTCTCAATTGCTCAATTGCACATTTGGAGCTCTTCAACGGGCTGCGCATCTACATTAACAGTTACCTTCCCATCTCTGCACACTTTGCTGTTGTAATTGCTAAATTAATGTAAGCGTCAGAGATTATCTTTAGCTTTATGATTGCGCTATCACTGAAAGTTTTGAGCATTTTAATTGCACGTCTAGCCGGTGCAAAACCAACAAATGCCTTTCAGACCAAATAATTTCATTTTCTCACATGAATGCCAATTTATTTAGAATGTTTATCAAGGAGATTACATCTGTGTTTCTTCTCAAATACAACAACAAACTTTTTCGATATGTTATTGAAAACATACTTGTAAAATTATTTGTGTAGCAGTGCACTGGTTGTTCAAATTTTATTTCAAAGCTGAAGTAGAAATTTGTTTTTATGCTCGATTTATTTTGTTTTCCGAATAAATTGTCCAAAAATATTGTAAATTGCATGTAAGAACGTGATATTTGTTAACAGCTTTAAGTCATACGAGACTTTGTATGCATTGCAGACCATGTATAACATATTGATAAATTGTACAATAATATTGATATTGATTTGATAATGTGCATTATGATGGGTGAAGTCGACAGAGGATATGTATTTATGACGCTTAAAAATAGTGTTTTCAAAAAGAGTACCATCTTCAAATTGATTTTTGTTCGAGCACATTAATTTTGAATATTTTATTTTTGATCATTGTTCAAAGGCAATAAATGCAATTGTGTTTTAAATTGCTGATAGTAAGCTAATGTAATAAAAGTAACAGCGTCGGTACTGATCTAAATTCGTACAAGATTTTTTTAATCTATACACTTACATAAACACATTCCTTCCAATCGTAATATTGCTTTTGTCCTAATTATCTTTCAATTCTACTATCAATTCTTAGACCAATTTTTATTTGACAACTAAAAGATATTAGTAATCTTTGTTTGCTCGTATTGATTGCTTTTAATATTATCTTCAATTTTTTTTTTGTCCTATGTTGACATACACATGTGTATGATTTAAACTTTAAAATCTGATTAACTGGTTCGTCGTTACATGGACGGTTCTTAGCACCATTGGCAATGGTCCACATTTAAAATTCATATACCAATTAATCTTCGCATTATTTTTAAACTTTTCCCTTTGACTATAAACTATCGAAGACCTTAGAAATTTAAGTAATTTTAAGTTGATAAAAAGAACTGAAACTGAACAAAAATGTCACAACCATCATGCCAGATCGCATGATTGAACAAATTTCAAGGTTACCATATAATTTAAAAATTGTCCTTAGGACAGATCTTTGATAAAGAAAATTTAAAAAAAAAAAATAATAATAATCAAATTTCAAAACTATACTTATGAACCCAAAAAGCGTATTAATTAACAATAATATCTTTTAACTTTTTCCTCATATCTAAGTATATATATCGAAGAAAAATAAAATTAACTTTAAAAAAAATAAAAATATGCTATAGAAATTGACAGCGATTGCATGAGGAAACATGTCAGTATTGATATTGCATCTAGTTTGGGACAAATTTATATTGGCACTAAAGTTCCTAACTAATGTTGACACCCCGCTAGACGTCAGCAGTGCCGTTCTGCCAGCCCGCCACCCCCTTGCGTTGAGCACAGGCATGCTTTGCTGGCAGCTGTCAGTTGACATTTGAAATTTATGCACACATATGTATGTAGATATGTATAAGCACAGAGACATCCATTTATACAACCATACCAACATATGTAAGGCATGCAACTGTGTATGAGTGTGTGTGTTAATGTTCAAGCTCTCTCTGCCCGCCTTGCTCTCTCGTTCTTGCACGCTTTATTGTTGTCTACCTGCTTCGCTTCTTGTTGCTTTGCAAATTCTGTGAGCCTCAGCAGCTTTTGCTCACCCCCGGAGCCACAACTATACAACGCCTTTAACTGCTATCGTTTGGTCTGCATATTCCCTGTCGCTGTTGTTGTTGTTATTATTCTTGTTATTGTGGTTCTCATTTCATACTCAATGTCTGTTATTGACATTTTCGCATTATGCAGTTTATCGATTTAGTTTGCCATCGCTAGCAATTTATTTCAAATTTTCCATGCCTGTTGCTTTTAACGACCACATTGCGTCTAAATATTCGTTTATTTATTTATTTATCAATACATATACAAGAACAATTAACTGCAAATTGTTTGGTAAATTAAACACGATCTTCATAGCGTGTTAAACCAAAACTTTTTAATTTCGCTTTGCCGAGTTCTTTTGTTTCCAGATTTTTTTTTGTGTTTCGCCCATTTTTGCTATTTTTATTGCAGCGTTGCACAGCCAGCCACAATGCTCCCTCCCCCCAGCCAAATGTGCGACCTTCAGGCAGCACACAGCAGGTGTTTATGTTTTATGTTGTATATTTACGCATTTAATTCCATTTGGCCATAGTTCTGGCTTCCTTTCTGTTCTGTTTAATTTTTTCACGCACACCCGCACACTTTTGTGTAAATACACACAGAATTCTGGCAAAACTTTTTGATATCATCAAGGTTTTCTGTTTCCCCATTTGTGTATTCGTAGTTAACTGAAAATTGTGCAGTTTATACTTTACTGACGTCTGTTTACTTGGGCCAAAAGACACACACACACATACTCGTAAATATGTATTTGCAAATGTACATACTCGTATGTATGTGCCTAAGTAGATGTGTACATTGACTTTGTTTAGTTATTTGAAAAGTACAAATAGCATAAACTATTAAAACGTCCCCACCTTTGTTGTATGCGGATGCACTGCGAGAAACATTTGCATTGGCATTGGACAGCTGTCTAAAAATAATTTCCTCTACGAACTATTTTTTCTTGCTTACTTAATCTCGACAACATGGACGCTTGTAATGTCAGAGTGCCAATCAATACAGTGTAGCATGCCAAAATTAAATCTAATGTCAATTTTCAGATATAACTAAATAAATATATATGTAGACTTATTGAGATGTAAATGGGGTTTATAGCTTAAATGTAAGCCAATAAGAAATGCTCATGTTAAATAAATTATAATAACAAAACATTGCAGATGAGAGAGTCGCATTCGTACCCCTTTCACACATACTTGTCGAATATATTTGTTAAAAAAATAAATAAAAAAGGCTATCAATGCAGGCATAAACCTGCTCTTCCCCTTTTATACTGGTTGCTAGAAAGTTGAATGAATTGGTCTTAGCTCTTCTCAGGCCGAAACAGACTAATTATAGATTATTTTCACAAATCACAAATTAACAACAATCACAAATAAGAACAATATATATATATATATATACATAATTACTTATTAGACAGATACTTATTTCAGATTTACAATTCCTATAATATTTTAGCATAATTTAAGTGAAATAATCCTGAAACCTGTGTTAGTAACAAAACATGCGCTGACACTTTATCAGAATCAATAGAATAGAATCAGCTTAAGCTCTAAATTGTCCAAATATCTTGCTTGATTGTTAAAAGCTTTTAGTTGTTAGATTAAAAAACATAATACTTTTTTAAACAACTGTTATTTTTTCTTTTGAAAATAAAAAATTATATATTCTTAATCGAGATCCAATATATTTATATGTGTAAGCTAATTTGATTGTTTTGTGATCTTTATTTTTGCAGGTCAGCCAAACGCAACGCCTGAACAGAACGACAGCAATAAGAAGAAGAATCACACAACGCCTATTTGTTCGAAACAACTGCATTCACGAGCCACCCACTGAGCCCGATCAGAAGCCAGGGGCTATAAAATGCCACCACATACCCAGCAAGAGCATCCCCAGCAATAGGAGCCGCAGCAGTGGTCAGGCGTCATTTCATGCCAATCGCACACACATTCACACACACTCGCATATAGAGAGTACACGCCTGTGCACATAAACAGCCACATCTGGCCCCATCTGGTCAAATTGAAGGGGGAATAAGCCAACCGCAAAGTAATTGCGTCAAGCGAAGCCCTCGTCGACAAACAGAAATCAGAAAACGAATCGCTTCCAGTAAAAGTAAAACCGCAAAACCAATATCCAACATCCAATATCCAGTCCAAAAGCAACACGCTAGCACTTCCAAAAGCCGAAGCCCCCAATCTAAGCCAAGTTAAGCTAAGAGAGAGCAAGTAGAAGCCACATTTAGAATTAAAGTCGCACAACACCCACCACGCTCTCACGCCCACAACCAAGCAAGCTAAGCAAATCAAATCGAAGCCAAGCCAAGCCCAGCCAAGCCAAGCAAAGCCAAGTCAAGCCAAGTGTTGCAACCATCCCTGTAGAGTGTATAGTGTAGAGTTGTAACTGCCATCGCAATGTTGTCGTTCCTGAAGCTTCTCACATTAATCGCTGCCTGCGCAATATTCCTGCTTTTTGCTTATACCACCACAGCCTATTCGCTCGCACAAGATGCCGAACTGGCATCCGGTATGACCATGATTAATGAGACGAGTAGTCTGGCCAACATAAGCCACAGCCGCAGTGTACGCCAAGCACTGGGAGCAGGTGCCGACGACACGACCGATGACACTGATGACGTCGATCCTAGAGACCCCAGAACAGATGATGATCCTACTGAGTGCAGTCAGGGTCTAGTGCTGCCGCTATGGATGCCCCAAAAGAATATTACGTGGGGTGATCGTGCTATACGCGGCTTTGTCTATTTCATATTAATGATATATCTGTTCGTTGGCGTCTCAATTATATCTGACCGATTCATGGCTGCCATTGAAGCGATCACTTCTACCGAACGCACTGTCACCATTAAGCAACCCAATGGGGAGAAGCAAACGGTGCGGGTTCGCGTTTGGAATGAAACGGTTGCTAATTTAACACTTATGGCTTTAGGCTCGAGTGCGCCGGAAATAATGCTCTCCGTCATTGAAATCTATGCAAAAAATTTCGAAAGCGGCGATCTGGGGCCTGGCACAATTGTCGGCTCGGCCGCTTACAATCTATTCGTGATCATTGCCCTCTGCATGATAGCCATACCCACTGGGGAGTCACGTCGCATTAAGCACTTACGTGTCTTCACCGTCACTGCCATCTTTTCCGTATTCGCTTACATCTGGCTTTGGGCCATTCTGGCTGTTATCTCGCCTGGTGTGATTGAGGTGTGGGAGGGAATTGTAACATTCCTGCTCTTTCCGGTCACCGTGATTTGGGCGTACATTGCCGAGAAGCGTCTGCTGGTCTATAAGTATCTGGATAAGAATTATCGTGTGAATAAGCGTGGCACTGTCATCAGTGGAGAACGTGACGCTGTTGAAATGGACACGGAAAAGGGCAGGCATGGATCAGTACCCATGGACGCTGATGCGGCGGCATTCGAGGAGGCGCGGCGTGAATACATTCAGGTGCTGACAGAGCTGCGGCAGAAGTATCCGGAAGCCGATCTCGAACAGCTGGAGATGATGGCTCAGGAACAGATTATTTCGCGCGGCTCCAAGTCGCGTGCCTTCTATCGTGTTCAGGCCACACGCAAAATGATTGGCAGCGGCAATCTAATGCGCAAGATCCAGGAGCGCGCACACAGCGACCTAAACGAGGTGAAGGCGCAGCTGAACCGAGACGATGATAGCGACGACGAAGATCAGCCCACACGTATCTATTTTGAGCCGGGCCACTATACGGTCATGGAGAACTGCGGCGAGTTTGAGGTGCGCGTCGTGCGTCGCGGTGACATTTCGAAATACTCGTCCGTGGAGTTCGAGACGCAAGATGGCACCGCCACCGCTGGTGGTGATTATATTGGGAGAAAAGGCGTCCTAACCTTTCCGCCTGGTGTGGATGAGCAGCGCTTCAAGATCGAGATCATTGACGATGATATATTTGAGGAGGATGAATGCTTCTACATACGTCTATTCAATCCCTCCGAGAATGTCACTTTAGTTGTGCCACAAGTAGCTACGGTGATGATCCTGGATGATGATCATGCGGGCATTTTTGCGTTTTCTGACTCGGTACAGGAGATATCCGAATCGGTGGGCATCTATGAGCTGCCGGTGATGCGTTATTCTGGCGCTCGAGGCACCGTCATCGTGCCTTACTGGACCGAGGATGACACGGCTAAAGCCGGCAAGGACTTTGAGCCAGTGCAAGGCGAGCTCACTTTCGAAGACAATGCCACAGAGTGAGTAGACCTTATATCATCTAATTAACTATTTGGGAGGGTCCCTGACTCAATGGCCGGCACTGATGGCCACCATTGGTGGTCGCTTTTGCTCCTATTTTAATTGACTTTTGACGGCAATCATCAAAAGCCCATCAATGCCGCTTAAACAGCGGCATGTTCGTATTTTTGGAAACGTGCTTTTCTAGCCGTAGACTTTGGGTGGCGCAGAGCACAAAATGTCTGTCTTAGCACACATAAAACTTTCCAAACTTTCTTTGCCACAACAGTATAGTAAAAGGCGACATTAAAAATTTCCCCCAAATTTCCCAATGTTCTATGCTCATACACGGAAAGAAAAAGTAATGTACTTGCACATTTTGTTGACAAATTCTACTTCTCACTTGTGATATCAGTTCATTAGCAATATTTCTTCCATTAATGTACAAAACTTGGACTTAAAAACGGTCTTCATATTTAAATTAAGAGTCTTTGTTATAGAATTGAAAGATTGCTGATAATTCTTAACCTTCTTTAAAGTTTGGAAAAATTTCTTAAGTTTTGATAAAAGCAGTGACTTTAATTTGAATAAATCAGCATTTAATATTTTTTATTGTAGAATTTGGCAAAGAAGTACATTTTTTGTTATTATTATGAAAATTATGATTTAATTGTAAATTAAATTTATTTTGTTAAGCATTCAAAGTCTAATAATGGATCATTTTTTTAAAGAAATATGTGCTGAGTTGCTTAGTCAAATTTTTATTAAATTCTTTCCAGCAAAAAAAAAAGGTTGTAATTATATTACATTCATTTATAAGGAGATGGAAATGTTAATTAGGAAATATTAATACACACAAACTAAAACACAAACTAATAGCATAAAATATTTAATATTAATTTTACTTTCAAATTTGTCGAACATTTAAAAAAAGTAGAACGTATTATTATAATTTGTAGGGTCTGTATGGGGTCCCTTAAGTTTAAATTATTTTATTTTATAGTTTTATTTGACTTTAATTCTGCTATCGATTTAAAACATTATGCATGGAATAGATAGACGGAATCAAATTTCTACACACTTTTTGCAATCAAATATCTGTTGTTGTTTTGAAAATTCTTTGCAACTATAGTAACTGTTTTTTTGAGCAGGTGTTAACCAACAAGAAACCATAGTCGTTATTTATCGGCACTAAATACCAAATATCATTAAAAATACGCATTCATTTATGCCTCAGAGCTTATCAAGGCACCTAAAAATATTTTTCTTCCCTGAGTGTGTCATGTCTGTCGACACTTTGAGCCCAACCTGCGACCAATGCCTTGAACTTTGCCGTAACTTGGCTGAAAGTTTTGTGTGTGGTGGGCTTTTGTGTTTCTGTGTCGTGTCAAAGAATATGATGAGCAAGGGAATGCGAGGTTCTGGTTAACGTGGCTTCCGAGTTCATCGATGTCGTTGCTGCCACGTTACTTTAACATTTCCGGTCAATGTCACGCAAGGGAACTCCCAGAGGTGCCAGTCGACTGCATTGCCATTGCCGTTTTGGAAATAGAGACTTGTTAATGAAACGATCCGCATTGCGAACGGTGGTTGACTAATTTAGCTGTGCGTGAATGATGGGCATTTCTACGTGAGCTGAATCGATTAGAGTCGTAATAAGTTGCCGTTTTAATTGCCATGCCACATGCTTCTCGTCTTCGACCCACTTTTATGTCCTTTGCCCAATTTTGTATATTATGCAAAAATTTCATTGCTCTAGCACCTGTCGCTCCAGCCTGTTTTAGTATAACTTGAGCTTATGTGTGTGCGTGTGTGTGTGTGTCTGGCACTTGCCAATGTTTTCTGATACTGCAATTATCATCTGACAGCGGGCTGGGCCGGGCCCGGCCAGGCCATGAGAGGAAAATGATAGCTTCCAGCGAGCTCGCGCTCAAGTTCGAACCCACAATAGGCAACTGGACTATATTGTCCCAACATGCGCGCCATCTTGTTAGCTCACATATACACACACACACACATGCACATTTGCATGCAGACAGCGGCTGTCATAACCTTGTCATGCTCTTCCGGTTGCCAGTATGCACCTCACACCCATTTCATTTGTCACTTACGTGCATGAGCGAAATGTAATTAAGTTCGAAAATTAATTCGTTTGCAAAATATTTTGCAGTTGACAATAAAATTTACTTAACTTGCCTTGACGCATGTTTTTGTCAGTGCTTTGTGGCTTTTTGTTATGCTTCGCATCCGGCCACAACAATCCGGCATATGTTCCCAGCGCTGGCCAAATGTTTCTGACCGCAAGGACGAAAGAGCAGAAAACATGACATCATCATTTTTTGCATAGCAACATAAGGCGAAATTAATACCAACACAAACTTTAAAGATTTTAAAGCTGAATAGATTGCCTGCAAATCAAATTTAAGATAGAGGCCTAATGAAGTGTTTAAATTATGAAAAATAATCGTAATCTTCTTTTCCATCTACTTACATAAATGTTTTTAAGTTACAGTGTTACTAATTGCATTTCTTTTTTGCTAAGTATAGTAGCTATATTAGTATACTTGTAGTTAGACAGATCTTTTTGGATTTTTTAGGGTAAGATTTTAATGGTTTCAGAATCCAGAAAGCCTCCATAATAGTGAGACTTTTTCAAGTATAGTTTAGAAATAACGTAGCTAATACAAACAAAAATAAAACACTTAAATAACAATTTATAAGAGAGTTTAAAGTTGGTGATGTAACTAGTATAGTGAGATTGTACATGACATGTAGATAAGACAAGAATCAATTGAAAATTAACAAAGTCTTTGTATGTTCACAAAACAATTCACTCATTCGATTCATTTAAGCGATTAAAGAGCATTCCAAAACCAGATACTGGCTTACTACTTACGAATAAAAAATATATATTATGACTTGCTTTTAATTTAAATTGATCTGCAATTAGTGTCGATTCAAATTTCCTAACCGAGGCAAAGTGTAAGTGTCTGATGAAATTAATGCTATTAGGATGCTTGCAAAGTGCCAGGAAACTGCTTTTGTCTTGCCTACGATTTATAAACTCAAATGAAAAGAGTATATTAATTCAGAGGAAGAAATTGTTTTCAATCCTACTTTTTGCATTCATTGAGACGTGCTCAGTATTTGAAAACTTGTTCATTCTACTGCCACTTTACAAAATATTGCGCCTTTTGTAATTAATACAAATATATAAAGACCTTTCACACCCAAAAGCTCTTGATTTTGAAAACATAAACAGTTTGTGGTTATTGCTTACAGTTTGAATTTCATAACACAATGTGTATTAAGTGCACATTTACAAGTAGGTTGAGTAAGAGTTGCTTACCTAATTGCTTGCTTGAACAAAATTTAATTAAATTTTAATACGTCGAGTACTTGAGAAACACTTGCAAGCCAATAATTCTTTATTGCTGTTGGAGCAATTTTATGCCAATTTCCATTCCGCCTTGTCCATTGGAATATATAAGTATATACGTCGAGTGGCCGTCACATTAGCTTCACCGCCACAGACAAATAAAGTAACAAGGACACGAATGAAGGGATAAGTGCATCTACTTTTCTCTCTACTTCATTGACAGTCGGACTACAATTAATATGTTCTTCGTCATGAGCCAATGTTTTATTCGGCTGCTCTCTTTCTCGCACTTATTTAATTAGTAAGATTATTTTTTATTGGCACTGTGTAACAAAAATTGTAATATATATTTCTCAAAATAAGTCGGCTTTTAAGAAAATAATTAATTATTTTTAAGTATTTAGACTTAATACAAAAACCAAAGGGGCACTGGCTTTTACATTTTAAGTCTCTTATTAAGCCCGATATCAATATAAGGTTAGTTTTTATTTTCTTAGCTTTCCTCTTTTAGTTTTGGGGATCATTTACTGAGTTTTTTGGCTCACAAAAGATCTGTTACCTTCTTAGACTAAAAAGCAGAACTAATCATGCCGATTACAAATTGTTTACTCTTTAGAACCGTTTATGTAATTTGCACATTATATTTTATTTAGATGAAAAAACCTTCACACACTTTTACTCAGCATTTAAATAATTTATGCATTGACTTAAATATACATAAATTAAAAAAGAAACAAATATTTAAAATGTAAAAAAAAAAAATGGCATGTGTTAAGCAATGAGTTAATATATTGTTATTTTTAAATTGTTTATTTTGCATTCGCATACAATTTTCACGCTTCAGAAAATTATTTAAATTTATAAGCCATCCTCTAAAGCGAGCGCATTACAATTTCTCACAAGCAATGCAAATTTGTATTTAAATGAATAAACAAACAACACATATTCTGTGCGATTTATCAATATTTTGGACAATAATGAACACCTATAGAATAAATATTTAAATAAAATCACACAATTACAAATAGACATGGAACAAAAAACTAAACAAAAAGCAAACCATTGAAATAGCAATTTCATAGTTCATAAATTTAATTAGCTCCCTAGATTAAATCAGTTTAAATCGTGATAAAAATAAACATGTAAATAAAGGACGCTAAACTAAAAAATTGTGTAGCTTAGTGTAATTAATTTTGCACCCCACGGCCTTATTAAGCAATTAGCACATATCTCTTTATCTTGCTCTCAGGTCCTGTCAATTCGCCCTGTTGCGTGACCTGTCTGTTCCCTCTATCCGACAGACTGTCTGGCAGCCTGTGAGTCGCGTCGCGGCGCTTCGCTTTAATTGTTTCCAACACGTTGCTGACATTTTCAATGACGCCGCAAAGGCGGCAACAAAAACCTGACAGTCGCAGTCGCAGTCCCAGCCATACTTGCTACATAGTTGCCGCCTGCGCATAATACGGCGGTACACAAATTGTTGAGGTTTTTCCATTATTTTATAATAAGCTAAAGCGCACCAACGAAAATTAGGAGGCACCTTGCGGCATCTGCTGTGTCGACTGGGGAAAAATGTAAAAATTAAGCGACTAAACTTGTTTTTATATAGTATACTCGCACATACTCTAAAGAGTAAGGGTA